TGATTTCTCTTCACAGGAAGGGCAATGGCTATAAGAAGATTGCAAAGATGTTAAACATACCAAGAGACACCTTAGGAAGCATCATTCGCAAATTCAAGGCAAAGGGCACTGTTGAAACGCTACCTGGTCGTGGCAGAAAGAAGATGCTGACTTCGACTGCTGTGCGCTACCTGAAGCGTAGAGTGGAGAGAAGTCCCCGTGTGACTGCTGAGGAACTGAGAAAAGATTTGTCAGATGTGGGTACAGAAGTTTCAGCCCAGACAATAAGACGCACACTGCGTAATGAAGGCCTCCGTGCCAGAACTCCCAGGCGTACCCCCTTGCTGTCTCCAAAGAATAAGAAGAGTCGACTGCAGTATGCCAAAAGCCATGTGGACAAACCACAAAAGTTGTGGGATAGTGTTCTGTGGACTGATGAAACAAAATTAGAACTGTTTGGGCCCATGGATCAACGCTATGTTTGGAGGAGGAAGAACAAGGCCTATGATGAAAAGAACACCTTGCCTACTGTGAAGCATGGTGGAGGGTCAATCATGCTTTGGGGCTGTTTTGCTTCTGCAGGTACAGGGAAGCTTCAGCGTGTGCAAGGTACCATGAATTCTCTTCAGTACCAGGAGATATTGGATGGAAACGTGATGCAGTCCGTCACACACCTGAGGCTTGGGAGACGTTGGACCTTTCAACAGGACAATGATCCCAAGCATACCTCCAAGTCCACTAGAGCATGGTTGCAGAGGAAAGGCTGGAACATTTTGGAGTGGCCATCGCAGTCACCAGACTTAAATCCGATTGAGAACCTCTGGTGGGACTTAAAGAAAGCAGTTGCAGTGCGCAAGCCTAAGAATGTGACTGAACTGGAGGCCTTTGCCCATGAAGAATGGGCGAAGATACCCGTAGATCGCTGCAAGACACTTGTGTCAAGCTATGCTTCACGTTTAAAAGCTGTTATAACTGTAAAAGGATGCTGTACTAAGTACTAAGATTGAATGTCACTTGGGGGTTGAATAAAACTGATAATGCTGTGAGCACAGAAAAGACATTTGTGGTTATTTCATTATAACTGTTATGTTATATTTGTCTGACCTACAAGTGCCTCTTTAATGTAAATGTAAGCAAGATGACTGAATGATCAAAAGCAATGAAAACTGGCCAAAACACTCAATTTCAGTGGGGGTTGAATAATTTTGGCCACAACTGTACCAAAAGGGTGAATTTCAGCCGCACACCATGAAGCCTACAGAATGGCGACAGCTGATCCAGCCCAAAACTGGCTCCTCCCACTGACTCCATTCACCCTGTAAGAGGCTCAGCTATAGAGTCAACCTGTCTAAAAGCTAAGCGTCAGCAAAAACAGGTGCAGATTGAGAGCAGCGAGCACAGGCTTCCCATAGGTAATATCCACCCCTGCTTGGCATCATTCAGTAATGAGATGTGTGTCTGTTAATGAAGCAGGCTCACAAGTGCCATTCAATAACCCAATTTCTGTCCTTTTCTTAGGCTTTAATTAACATCACAAAGCAAGCTCATACAACACAGACACGGGTAACAGATTTAACTGTAAAACCAAACAATGCCGCCTGAGCGAAAATCTATTTTTAATCATTATGTCAACATGCATAATTAAAAGTACTCATAGAAGCTGATACAAATGTACCCAGCATGTGCTGCCTCTAATTATGGCATTTAAATTCGCAAATGATTACAGTATTAGACTGGTAAAACTGGCAGCTAACAAGGGGAGGAAGAGATCCAAGAATGTAATGTTCTCCCCATAGTCTTCCTACAGGAATCCAGGCCATTAAGCCTTTCCATTAATGCATTAAAGGGACAAAATCACCCAAATGGATGGTCATTATTTCACACTGAAGAATACTCTGTGCATGCTGCTATTTCCTGTAAGACCAGAGGTTAGCACATGTAGACACAGATAGCCATTATCGCTACTTACAGGAACCTCATACATGTCACAGGAGGTAATGGGATTGCATGCTCTCCATTGCAAATGTACTAAGCTCACATTCCCTTCTAACAATAATTCCACCAAGATTACAGGAAAGCAACCAGTTAGTTCAACTGATTCCCATATGGAAGAAAGATATATTTTAAAAATACTCTCCCCAAATACAGGTGAAACTCAAAAAATTAAAATATCGTGCAAAAGTTCATTTATTTCAGTAATGCAACTTAAAAGGTGAAACTAATACAATATAAAGGGAGACCATACAGCAAAAATACAGTTCAATACAAGCGGGAGGGCCCTGCTCCTTGGAGCATATATTTGTTGAAATATATTTTGAAATATATTGAATATGGCCAAAATTGTGGCATTTCAAATATATGTCAATGTATTTGGGAAGAATATTTTTAAAATATATTTCAAATATATTTTTCTTCCATGTGGGTTAGCGAAAGAAAGATGCATATGAACAAGGCACTACACAGAACGCAATAAAATGGAATATTAATTAGAAATACTATTATTAAATAAAATACTAAAAAATTCCCCAGCACACTTAAAATCCAGCCTCTCTCAGCCAGGGTCCTATAGAACCCTACGGTTCCTCCTGTGGTTTCTAGGGGTTCCCTAAACAGTGAACAGATTGATCTCCCACCCACACTGACCAGCAACAGGGCAATTTTCCACTCAATCTCCCACCTATATTGACAATTAATACAGGGTGACACTTCCATATTGACCAGTAAGTGTTATAGGACACCACGAATTGAACGGCCTGTGTTTCTTTGTGTTGTTATTATTCCTTTCATTCTAAGATTGTTACTGAAAATTATTTAGTTGTATAACACAAGGGGGTGTTAAAAAAATCTGCCCTGGGTCTTAAATACCCTAGTTAAGTCAAATGATTTATTATTTCAGTTAAACTTTTCTACAATTTATTGTTTATGCCAATGTTCCAGGAGTTATAGACATCATTTTAAGAAGGCTTCCTCAAGACCTGAAAAAAATATTTTAAGGGTTCTTCTAAGGTTGTGAAAAGATAATTCTCCAAACTTTCCAAGAAAAGGGCTTGGGGGGTGGGGGAGTGGACTGTGGCTAGTTGAAGTATAACAAAAAATTACATAGTGTCTGTGGTCAGTACAAGGATGATTAATGTCCCATCATTGGTACCAGTGTTGGTATCACTAGTAGGAATAATGCCTCATCCTTGGTATTGCGGGAGGAATGATCCCCATCATGGTGTCAGTGAAAGAGTTTTGTTGCATACATTTGTAAATACATGTGAAGTTACAATGGACCCTCAACAAAATGTGGTCACTAAAAGGGTTCTTTACTGCCAATAAAAATTATTGCTTGAGTTTTTAAGCTTTTTTGAGCTTTTTTTTTAACACGTTTTTACTTCCTTGGCTTGGAAACTTTTTATAGACTAAGGGCTAAGTGGTTTACTGCATTGCCATTCTTAAAAGGCTTGTTCACACTTGCTTTGGTCTCTGAAGTGCGATCACTCTTCAGAGATAATTTGACAAGCAGTGAGGAAGCTCTGCATTGTCCCTCCACCATCTGCTTTAACCCTTTGTGTGTCCCAACCGTGTGTTGTAACCCTAGTTTGTCCCAACCGTGTGGATGGCATGCATGCCAGCAACCAGCGGTTGTGGGGCGCTAGCAGATCGGTACCATTCACTTAAACAGGGGGGAAAATTCCTGCTTCATTGCATTTTTGTTTTAGATTTAGTAGGAAAGAAATAGCATCCCTCTTGGGTTTTACTTTTGACTTTCTGTTGACCTACTGGCCTAAAGTTTTGGCTTTAGCTATTTTTTAAAGTGGAACTAAAGGCAAAACAATTGAACAGGCAGGCTAAAGGGGACAGGCCTAAATCTGTTGCTAAAATCTGTAGTGATTAATAACAAGGTGCATTTAAACAAGCAGATGTAATAAATGGCTTGCTATAAGGAAAGCTACACAAGCAGCATGTAGTAGCATCTCACACTGATCAATTTTGCAAGCCTTACAGCTACTGCATGCTACTTGTGTAGCTTAGTCCATAGGGAGCCAATTAATCTATCTGTTTAGCAATCAATTGCTACGTCTTGCAGTAACCTATATACTTCTGCCCTAATGAGGTAACTGCCAGAAATTAGTTAAAAAAGAAATAGAGCTTTTTTTTCCCCTAATTATACTTACCTAGGTGGATGCAGCACTGGTCGGATCTGCATCTGTCCCCCCGATGGCTCTAAGGGTAAAAACTCAGCGATCACATGACTGTTGATCACTGGGTTCTCCTATCTGCTCTGAGCAGAGCTCAGGACTGTCAGTCACTGCTGTCTGCCATGCTCAGTTTAGGTGAGGGTTAAGATTAGAATTATGTGGACAATTGAGGTGAGAGTCGAGATTAGGATTAGCTGGAAAGTTAGGGTAAGGATTAAGATTTGGATTAGCTGGAAAATTAAAGGAGAAGGTGGAAATTAGGGTTGAAATTAAGAGTTAGCTGGAAAGTTAAGGTAAGGTTTGATGATTAGGGATTGCTGTAAAGCTAAGGTGAGGATTGAGATTGAGGTTAGGTGGAAAATTGAGGTGAGAGTCATGATTAGGATCAGCCGGAAAGTTAGGGTGAGGGTTAAGATTTGGATTAGCTAGAAAATTAAGGAGAAGGTTGAGATTAGGGTTAGCAAGAAAGTTAAGATGAGGACTGAAATTAGAGTTAGCTGGAAAGTTAAGGTAAGGTTTGAGATTAGGGATTGCTGGATAGATAAAGTCAGGGTTGAGATTAGAATTATCTGGAAAATTGAGGCGAAAGTTGAAATTAGGATTAGCTGGAAAGTTACGGAGAAGGTTGAGATTAGGGTTAGCTAGAAAGTTAAAGTGAGGGTTGAAGATTAAGGTTAGAAAGCAAGTTAAGGTGAGGGTTGAGATAAGGATTAGCTGGAAAAACAGGTTAGAAAAGGTTTTTTGCTGCCCCCCCACCATAGGATAACTGCTTCTGACTCCCAAAGAAAAAAGAAGTTCTGATATAACTGTATGGATACCAGACTTAGTGGATCATACCTCAAGTAGCCAAGGCTTCAGCTTTCTGTCCAAAATAATGTCGAAGCCCAAAACTTCGAAACAGACACTGTTGCTGCCAGGTTGTTGGCCAGGCCGACACATGCGATAAGCGTGGAGCACATGAGGTTCCGCTACTATTAGCGTCTTCACCACTAATTCCTATTGAAAGAAAGTAAAGAGAGTTAAATCCCATCACATGTGTGCAGTGAATGCTAAACTCCCTATCAGGGACTCAATCTGTAAGGTCTTCAAATCATATTTTCAAGTGCTTCTCCACCTTTCCTCTGTCCATCTACAGCAAAACTAGAACTGGGAAAAGGAGAGGTAGTACAAGGAGCCAATAAGCTGTTAGCATGGGACATACTGATAGGGGGAGAAGGCAGAACAGCAGAGAAATGAACTCAGCAGTCTGCTGCTTCTCATTTCACTGTCCAGTCACAGGCTGGGGGAGGAATAAGACCTGTAAGTGCTACTTAGAGAGAACCCAGACACACACACACACACTTACTTCTGCCGTCACACCTAATAAATTTTAGTAGTACTTACCTGCCTCCTCCTTGCAGAGTTTTACCAGTCTCAGCACTCTGTGTTCCCCGCAGGTCAGAAACCCGCCCTGCTGCATCGGTATGGTGCATGCGCAAGATGAGGCGCACAATGTCTTTGAAGGTCCAGCAGAGGAAAAAGAATAAGCTGGCGCCTCATCTTGTGCATTGTCATGTATCACATTACTCTGCAGGGAAAAAAGCTTTTCCTCTCACAACTTTCAAGATAAAGGACAAAAAGGTCTATTTTTTTTTAAAACAGATGACTGTAATGTTGTACATCGTGTGGACAAGATAAGGTGCCAAACAACATTACACTAAGCTGTAAAAAAAAATAACTTTTTTCCCCAAGATTTCACAGTTAGGACATTTTTTCTGGAAGTCACTGGTGATGTAGCCTTCCCAGGGGGCATCTGTGAGGCCTGGGCTACATCACTACTTCTAAGACCAGGACCTGGGAACCTACAGGGGTTAGACAAAAAAAATGGAAACACTACATGATTTTCAGGTGTGAAAGTGACAACATGTTTTCACATTGAAAGAGGAAGTGATGTAACATTCTTTTTCTTCCGCTGTGTGATGAGACACCTAACAGATGGGAACCCTCACTTTCGTCATTCACTGCGTGCGCTCCTAGTAATATGGAGTCATGTCGGATCTTACTGAGCTTCAAAGAGGGCAAATTGTTGGTGCCGTTTAGCTGGTGCCTCTGTGACTGAAGTTGCCAATTTATTTTCTGTGTCTGAGGTACAGTATCAAAGGTTATGATGGCATATATAGTTTCCGGGAAAACGTCGTCTGATAAGAACAAGTGCGGTCAGCATGGTCAACTGACCGAAAGAGACAAAAAGGACATTGCGCAGGATTTTGACCCAGAATAAGAAAAAAAAAAACGACTGCAAAAGTGATTGCAGAGCTCAATCTCAGTCCCATGAAGACTGAGTTCCGTAAAGACTGAGATTGAGCTCTGCATTCACTTTTGCAGCAGTTGTTTTCTTATTGGACCTGGTAACTCAGATGAAAAGAGATCAGACTAACCCTTAAAAAAAATTGCTACTCACAGAAATGTCACTCCAAAATTTGGCCACATCATGGTCATTGGCACGTAGGAATTCGGTAAACCACCGGATGGAGCGTTTGCTACCTCGGTCCTCCTTCTCGTCCCGCCCAAAGTTCTCGTTGTGTTTGTTCACAGAGTAGTTAGTCAGGTGCATGTACAACTGGTTCTGAAAGACATGAAGAGAGTCCTATGGCTAGTTCACGTCTGTTTCCCCAACCACCATGGAAACTTAGCGGAATCAGAAGACTGAACTCAAACAAATCTGACAATTTATTCCGAACTTTCCCAGAAACGCAGCCAATGGCACAGCACCCTCCTCATCATTTCAAAGCACAATATTTTGATTCATTTATCAAAACGCTATGTTGCGGCGAGTTGTAGATTTCACCTAAGCAATAATTACAGGAAAATAAGAATTAGTGCTGCATATTAGCATATTCCCAGCGATATGACATCCAACTGTCATCATCAGAAGCGTTTCATGTGCCAGAGAAAATGTTTTTACACAATTACACCTCTCCATCTGTCCAATCTTGGACGTGTCCGTTCGCTCCCGTCTTTTTAATCTACGCTTGTGCGGTGATTACCACAATCATTGATGGAGTCTAAATAGGAATTACTCCAGTGTATGAAATGATCAGAGGGGGTTCAAGGGTGCCACTATGACAGTGCAAAACAGTGCACCTGCTCTACAGTCTCAGGGAATGGAACCAATAAAAATGATTACTATAGCCTCAGTATTCGGGTTTTTTGGGGGGGGGGGGGGGGGTTTGCAGGACTAGGCAAATACGCCATCTATGAGCAACAAGTCATGCTGTAAACTGCCTGCCCACACTTTTAATTTTTTGTAAAGATTTTTCTCTGCCTCTGTGCAGCCCTCAACCACCTGCAATTGTCTTCTCCAAGTCAGAGATCTGACCAGTTCCTCCCGGAATCGTACACTCTCCAGCCAATAGATAGGTTCCTGCCAAGGAACCCAGGGGGTTGTATATGTCATCAGCCAGCCTGTGTCTTAGCTCAGTGGTCTGTCAGATTTGAAAGTAATTAAAGCCAAGTTCCAGGAATTAGAAAAAAAAAGCTACCCTTGCTGTGGATCCACATGCCAAGGTAGGACCAACCCCCCCACGTTTTCCATCACCACCCCCTTCCCCCCTTGAACTACATGCTCATTTTGTTTAGGAGAGTCAAAATACTGCTGTGTTCAAAGGTTTGCATACCCTGGCAGAAATTGTGAAATGTTGGAATTTATATTGAAAATATGACGGATCATGCCAAAAAAAAAACGGTCTTTTATTTAATGGCGCATGTACACTGCAGCTGCTAAACTGAAATTTAGGAGCAGTTGTGCGTTTTTTTTCAGCAGCCCCTGAACCCTCCTTTGTGTTTTCCTATGTGTCCATGTACACAGAGTCGTTTACAGTACTTGAGGCAGTTGAGGTTACAGGCATTTTTTGAAAGCACAAAAATCGCGTTCAGGAATAGAGTTTACCAGCGTTTCAAATGCTTGTAACCGCGTGTAAACGTGTTTAGGTGCGTTTGTGTTTATACATGTTTTTGGGCTAGTCCATATTCAGATGCTGTCCAGTGCCTTTTTTCTTCATCAAAAAGGCATGCACAGCATTTTCCATGTATTCAAATGGACCCGGTACACCAGTGCAGTCAGTTCCAGGTTTCGCAAGCAGGAAAAAATGGTAGAATGTGGTGCATTATTTCTGCACAGAACTGTACTGGAACACATCAAAACACAGCAACAAAGCACAAGGAGTGTTGTGGGCACTCCAGAATGCATCCGGAGGCATTACAGGCATCACAGCACTATGTAGCTGCTCCCACGGTGCCAAGCATGTTTCACGAGCCACTTTTGCTACAGTTGCAACATCCATCAGAATTAGTGCTCTCTCTGCTTCTGCTCTATTTCTCACAATATGTCTAAAATAGTAAATTATTTACTATCTTTCAGTGCATTCTGGGTATTTGGGAGGGTCTCCTGATGTTATCTTTTAAAAACACTTCGAAACGCAAACACACATAAACGCGTCTAAATGCTCATAAATGCGGTAGGTAAATGTGGCTAAACTGGCGTTTTTAACCATCGTTTTCTAGCAGTCAGTTCCCAGCGTTCAGAAAAGTTTTTCAAACGGAACCCTAAGGATGATGATCATATGAAACCATTTATCACATAGTTGTTTTTCTCCTTTTTAAATCATAATGATAAGAGAAATCACCCAAATGGCTCGAATCAAAAGTTTCCCTCCCCTGGAATGTTTGGCCTTGATACAGACATACAAGGTGACACACACGGGTTAAATGGCAATTAAAGATTCATTTCCCACATTTTCTGCTTTTTAAATTGCAATTAGTGTCTGCGTATAAATAGTCAATGAGTTTGTTAGCTGCACTGAGCAGGCTAGATACTGAGCCATGGGGAGCAGAAAAGAATGGTCAAAGGACCTGCGTAACAAGGTAATGGAACCTTAAAAAGATGGAAAAGGATATATAAAGATATCTAAAGCCTTGAATATGCCAGTCAGTAGTGTTCAATGGCTTATTAAGAAGTGGAAAATTTGGGGACCAAGCCAAGGTCAGGTAGACCAAGAAAGATTGAGCCACAACTGCCAGAAGAATTGTTCAGGATACAAAGAAAAACCCACAGGTAACCTCAGGAGAAATAAATGTTGTTCTGGAAAAAAGATGATGTGGTTGTTTTAAGAGCAGTAGTAAATCGCTCACAAAAAAATCCTAACTAATGGGCCCCCTGCAGTGTTAGATCATAATGTACCTGTATGCACTGCATTCTAGTACATTATGACAGACTTACCTGTACATGGGCCCTCCAGCATCACGTTGTCACGTCTTCCCGGCAACGCCATCTTCAGCCGGTCTTCCTTCTGGGTTTGTGGGTGCAGTTATGGGGTTGTAGAGCGGCCTCATTTACTTGAATGGGTCACGATTGAGGGGCACTAATGCAACAGGGGGTATAATTCCTGCCATGACATGTGTAAACCCCCAACCCTTGTCTCCTCTGCGGCTAAAGATGAAGCAGCTGGGGGGTGGTAAAATTATGGAGATACACCATCCCCCAGTTACTAATGTGAACAAGGCTTTAGTCCCTTATGGCTGCAGTCACACTCTTGCCTCCTGCACATACAAACCAGGGTGTGATTGTTGTTCGCCTGACATCCTCTGGACACTATCAGTTTGAGACTGTTGGGGCTCTGCATCAAAAACGCATGGATAATAACCTATATGGTTTGCAATGGCATAGCTCACACTAGTGTGGTCAGTTCTACTGCGTTTTTTTTCAAGGAAAAAAAGTAGAACATGCTGCATTTTTGCTGCTGCAAAAATGCAGCATGTTCTACTTTTTTTTCTGAAAATCGAAAACTGGAACGCAGTAAAACACATAAAACACACACAAAAAAAACACACATAAAACACACGTTTTCATATGCAGGAAAAACACACAAAAAAAAAACTACACATAAAACACACGTTTTTGATGCAGGAAAAAAACACACTG